GGGGGGTATCAACATTAGGCCATTTTCTCCCCCATGTGCTGGCTAACAGCGAAAAAATGGTGTATGCTATTCCCTATTTTATCACACTGAAAACCAAGTCACTGGACTTAGGACTTTTTTGTTTTAAATAAAAGTACTTCAAAAGGTTCAATGTATGGCAGTTTTACACAGACATTAGCCAGACTTCAGCAAGCAAAATGAAAATTAGATTTTATTTTTAAAAGTTAAGTGAATACTTTCCAGTTATTTAAAAGGTGATCATTTATTTATTACAAAATGTTGTGGATAAGAAAGCAGGAAGTACTCATTTTTCACTACTACTACTGTGCCTATAAAATGAGAAAGCAGTGATTTGATCAATTCTATTTATGATCCATAGCAGCAATATCATCATTAAAAATCTTATGGTATAGATATAAATAACACTTAATTCTTAACATGGATAATGGTGCTATAAGTGACAACAATTCATTTGTTTTTATTTTAAATGCAGGGAGTATAAAGAACTTTACATTCTCTTTTTAATGTAAGAATAAAATTTATTGCTCCCTTTTAATATATTTATAGAAACAAAGTTCCTAATTGTTTCAACTAAAATAAATAAAGAAAAAAGAAATCTGGGACAAGAAGATGATTACAAGCAAAATAGATTTACCATAATCACCAACTGTGCAGAAGGATGGGTCACATTACTTTTTTCTTAGCAAAACTACATTATAGAACACTATAGCACAACGTACTAAAATCTGTCTTTGCTTTTTAAAAAATTCTTGCCCTTGATACCTTTCAGTAGGGCAGCTTGAACAGTTCATCGTCACTTCCAAACCCCTCTGGAGATCAGACGATAAATTTCTTCGGCAATCAGAGACAGGACAAAGGGCTTTCTCGTGCTATTTCCTTGTTTTCATGTTTGCTGGCTTAACATCATTGTGTACACGTACGACTTCAGTATATAACATCGGATGCGATGGCGTTCAGAGCTGGCAAACAGAGAAACAGCATGAGAAAAGCCCTTTCCTGCATAATTTTCCCCACATATTGTAAAGTTTGTCTCCAAATTTCTACCCTGTCAGTCACTGCATGGATTTGAGAAGTACTGAGCTACTGCGGTTCTAACCAACCTTTTTGATGTGTGTTGTGGTTTTAGGTTTCTATGCACAAGCAAAGATCTGCACACATCTATATACCCATAGCAAAAATGCTGAAAAAGAAACTGCTTCTAGGTAGGGGTTTTTTTTCTTGCTTTGTCAGCTTGAAACCCCAAGTGCTGTTGCAAGACTATAACTATTCAAAGACTACCATACCACCTAGAACATGTTCTACAGGGGTTTAGCAGACTTTGTTCAAGAGCATTAATCCTAAGAGCATAAAATACCTTGATTTGAAGAGATATTTTGCATCCTTGATCTCTATTTATCATCAACAGAGTGAAAGTCCTAAAAATTCACATAAATTAATCGATTCCAATCAATTATTTCACAGGAAAGAAAGCACCATCAATACCACCATCACCAAGACGCTAGCCACTCCCTGGTCAGGAAATTGCTACCAACTGCAGATTATTGAGTGCAATATATGCTGACAGAAAACAGGAAAAGAAAGAAGTGTGAAAATCAGGCCACAGCTAAATCAGACTTCATTGTTGGCAATGGCTTATAGCTCTAAGTCACTTAAAAAAAAAAAAAACCACAAAGTTGGGTCATGAGGAGAAAAGTAAACTTTTCAGTGAAAAATGAAGGCAAAATGCACTTAATGTTTAAGAAAATTTATGCTGCTACTACTCTAAAGCAAGCTGCTATTGAAGAGAGAGTTGCATATTATTCTAGCTTGCATAAAAATCACCCAGTTATTAATGCTGGAACGCCATCTTCCAACTTCAGTACAAACTAAGTCAACAAGTTCTTACTGGGGTAGGGGGAAGCCTCGGATTTCTCCAAATTAGTTTTTACTTGAGTGTCATATTAAAAGTATTTCATTTTATTCCTCACACATAGCATTAATTGTTTTATTTACTTCCCATTTGTGCCACTTTTGTCTTCTACTATGGGGCAAGAGGAGCACATTCTAGATTATCTTCACCCATGCTCTCCCAGTGAAAGACAGGTTAGAAGAACAATTTTAAAGTCTTTCTTCAAAGTATTCACAGAGGAAAAGCATTTTTTGACCAGCTTTACTTCAGTAGTACTGCACAATTCAGTACTGCTCAGTAACCTCCATGTTGCAGACTTTTACTTATCCTTGAGTTAGAAATTCTCCAGATGGGAATGTCAGTTTTTTTTCCTGAAATGCGTACACATGGAAGTGTATCAGAGCCACCAGAATATTAAGAGAAAATAACAAGACTATTTAGAATCATAGTAATCAATTTTGAAATGGCTTTTAGGAAGGGCTTATACCAACAGCTATTTAACTGATATTTAGAAGAAAGTGTTGAGTATAATTTACTCTGTATTTGCCAATGCAGAGTACCCATGTTATTTCTAAGCCCTTTTACATATCAGAAGCATCAAGCACCGACTACTGATGAACACTATACTAGGTTAAACTCACTAGCCTCACTGTTATTAAATTAAACAATACATCTTGCAGCTAAAGATTTACATAACAGGTGACTTTTTAGAGCTATTAGTTTCAGGAACAGTGTAATATTCTTTCAATTCACATCCTAAGCACACTGTTCTCATAGTGAGTGGGAAGCTGTAATGACTCTTCACTACATTTCAAATCAGAAAACCAAATATACCATGACTGTAAGCAGGTCTAAGCAGTTACTAATAGAATCAGAATTGAGACTGTAGGGGCCCAAAATATAATGTATTTTAAATGAGGTCTACTTCCCATTCACATTTCTAAGGAATATAATGCCCCTCTCCAACCAGTTTCTAACAAGTGCAGCAGAGATCACTGTGTCACCTCAAATTTCTGTTCATAAGTATGGGTATGTTCACAGATGATAGAATCCTGGCAATTAAAATTAACTAATGAAGATCTTTATTAGTAAATAAAACCAGTGTGCATGCTTGTTCACTCCCTCAGCAACTTCCCAAACATGGTATAGTGTGCTAGCAGTGAAGCTAAATTAACATACAGACCAGAGCTCCTTGTGAAGCATGGAGAACCACCAAAAAGCATGTAATGGTAGATTCAGAGCATGATTGCACTTCCCAGCTCTATCAGCAGAAGAGGTGCTGCTTTGACAAACACTCACACTTCTTCAATTACACAAAGTCAGGAAAAAACATGCTCTCAAGTTAAAGTTGTAAATGACAATACAAAAGGTTACAAGTCTCTCCCTGAGTGACCGGGTGTTTATTTTCAGATTTCAACTGTTCCTATAGTATGCATTATACTACTCTGAAATGCAAAGAATGTCTGAAATAGCATTAGTGAAAAGAAAGGGACAAGAAGGCAGCAAAATGCATGGCAAATTCTAATGAACCTTTGTGGCAGGAGCTTCTTAGAACTGAACTGCCACAGATAGTATTATATGTGGTTTGAGTTGACAGGTTGACCCCTAGACAGGTATTTCAATTGTCTGAACATTGTTTAAAGTACTTGAGCAAAGAATTTATATTTTAAAATTGTGTCTACATGAAAATTGTAGACCACATGAAAACTAGACTGGAAAAACTTCTGCTTTCTTTTCATCATTCCATTGCAAATGCAAAAGGAATTAGAAGATTTGTGTCAGTATGGAATATTTCTATGAAGTCTGCTCTCACTGAGGTAAATGTCAAAAGCAATTGAGCTTTTACAAAGCTTGCAGACAGATAAACTTTAAAGGTGCTGAATGCTTTTCTACCAAAGAAATGCATCTTTCTACGAGGCCCATGACTACCAAAACAATGAAAATCTGATGACACTGAAAGCGAGTTTAATTTTACAAGCCTCCAAATATGCTAGTTTGAAAAATTTTATTATGAATAAGAAGACCCTTCACAATTTAGCACTTGCTAAAACATCTTTAAAAGAATTATCTCTACTACATCCCAAAAGAAAACACACTATTCTGCAGCTCTGCTATCACTAGTATTTATTAATTCCTACTGTGTAACTGCAGAATACTATTAATAGCTTTCTCTCCTATCCCCCTTCTTAGATACATAGTGGGTATTACATTAGGACCATACTTTCCCCTCTTCAGCTTCCTGTTTTTCCTGATTCAATGTGTCCTCAGCTGCTTCAGGAGTTTCCAATTCCTTCTCCATAAAAATTTCAGCTGTTGCACTGCTGTATTTATTTTCCCACATGACCACTAAAGAGATATTTTGGGGGTTTTAGGAGAAAAACCTTTCCATCTTGTCTTGCATGCTTTTTGACTACAACTGTTGTAATGACTTTCTGTCATTTTACAGATCACTTAGACAAATTTAGCAGTAAAGCAAAGACATAATTTCCTTTCTTTAAAGACCTGAATCAATACCATTTGGACATACACAAAATTTAGAGCTCCAAAAGAAAACATATATTTTTAGCTCTAACTCAATATTACTTCAAATACCTGAGTAGAAAGCCTTGCATGGACAAAACTAAGAACAGTTGAGATGTGCTACCTCTTAATAGCAGCACCCAGTAGAAAGTGAAGAGTTATCATCACAGTGAATGTAATCTTCTTTAGCCTCCTTCAGAAAGCTTTTGGTTTGTAAAAGGGAGGCATTACAGTAATTCTTAGTGGTAAAGTAAAATATTTTTACTCACGTTAGACATTTTACTTTCATTTTTCAAACTAGCACATCTCCCTTGTCAACTTCCATTCCTATCTTCCAATCCTCCAGCCTGGCCTTCAGTTTTCTGGTAATTCAGAGCGCGCACAATACAAATGCATCATTAAGCACAAACACTCTGTTAGTCTCTGAGGCTGGCAGGTGGTGGGACACCCAAACCATTGTGGCAGAAGTTCATTTGTGTCTGCTTTGTCTTCTTACTGGCTAACAGTGACAACTCACCCCGAGTCACCTTCTACAGCACCACAGGAGATAAAACTATACAGACTACCATATACAAAATCAGGTTAGAAGAAAGACTGACTTAAAAGATCAGTTGATGTTTAAGAAATACTGTGCTTGGTTTTACTTATGAAATACAATTCTGCCTTTGTGATCATGGTACAACACAAAGGATATTTAAATCTAATGGCCTTTCATGACCAATTTATGTACGTAAATTCATTAACGAAATTACTTTTATTTAAATAAGGAATAAGAATGTCAATTCACATGTTTACAGGTAAATGTTATTTTCAGATTTGTGTAAAGAGCCACTGACAGTGAGCAGTTATACTTTCTCCAACAATGTCATCACTTTCATACAGAAAAATACATGTAAAAGAAGGATAGCTATAGATTTAACAAAATCAATAGAAATAGAATCATAGAATCATAGTAACATTAATGTCTTTTTGATATATTCAGTGCATCATACTCATATAGTTTCAGGTATATGAAGATAAGCTAATACCAGGTAATGAGCATTTAAAGGGGAAAAAAAATAACAAACACAACTCTATTCTGCTCTTCCAGCTAGGAAGCCCCTGTCATTGAACTTTAAGGTACAGATAAAAGAAAACCCTCTTTCCCCCAACCAACTTCTGCAGAAGAGAATTGCTTCCATTCTACTTTAAAAGCCCCTTTGGATGGAAGAACTATGTTAGTGAAAACCTAGGGACTCACGAGCTTGCTTTGTTTGCATCATTACTGCTTGACAGTGTATTTGAGCAGACAATGGAAGAACCTTTTTGGCTCAGAGGAACTATACCAGAACCCAATTGAAAAATCACTTAGATGAACCTTAGAGAAACGCTGAGGAGCATTTCTGTAGCACCAGCCTCCTCGGAGTTATGAGACTTCTAACAGATGAACAAACCAGCAAGAAGCTTTTCTAATGTGTAATTTAAATTTACACATTCAAATACCTTTAATAGAAAATACTCAAATCTCAAAAAGCTTCATTTTTCAGTGCTGTCGTGTCTTAGAAATAAGGAATTCTCCCCTCCCCCCTTCAATTTTTCTGTTAATGCACCTCAGAAAAAGATGGAAGTTATCTAAAGCATAGTGATATAGAACATAGCACACATTTGGGTTGGTAAGGAAAAGAGAATAAAATAAACAACCCGGCCTGCAATTTTCAAAATGCAATGGCTACTTTGAATGAGCAGCTTTTTTCAGGCACATGTTGTTATCAATTACCACACCATCATCACATTTTTTGTCATGGCAATAAAACAAAGCTACAGAAAAAAGAATCAAAACGTAGCTAGAGCAAAACGTCTAACAGGCTCAGTCATGCTGAGGATTTACTCCCGAGCAATAGTATTAAAATATATTATCAATAATATATTAAATCTCCTGCCAATTTTTATTTCATGATTAATTCCTTGACCAATTAAAGCTTAACTAGAAAACTATTTTCACTGAAAACTTTGTGATATTTGAAGAAAGAAGGAAACACAAACAGCAAAGTTTTATTATTAATAAAACTGTCCAGAATAAGGACAGTCATTAGATTCCGTTTCCAGTGACTTAAAGTCTTTCTGTAGTGTCTAGAAGAACAAGATGTGCTTTGCTTCTCAATTTATTTTTAATTTTAAGATGAGGATTCTTTAGACATTTCCTTTGTTGTACTGAATTTCTGAGAAGCTACTATCTGGTTTATCGGGCGGAGCAGCATAGAAGTCAGGGCAATTATACTGATGCTTCTCATTTTCCCCTAATTTTGCCTGCTGACTGTGTTATTCCACCAGATTTAAGTAGTCCAGTATGCTTCTAGTCTGAAAATGGCACCGAAACTCTCAGAGGAAAATCCTTGCCTGCTTTTGAGAGACCTTGAAGTAAAGCTATGCCCAAATGAGGCTGCAATTCCAGACTCCATTAATATTAAGAACCACTTATCAGATCCTGTAAGGCTTTATTGCTTTCCACCTGGCCTAGATTACCTCAATTCTTGAGCACACAATACTACAGAGGACAGCACCATAACCCCTTTGTGCCTTGCAGGGCTGCACGAGGTACTGCAGTGACGCAGGCAGTGCCATGCTGCCATCTGCAGTCAGCAATACCTACCGATGGCATAATTCTCTGCTCGGTGTCCCTACAGCCAACAGACATTTCATTTTCTCCCTTAACACTGATGACTCTCAAATTGCTTACTTTTCAGTGCCTCAATTTAACATGCACTTTCAGACTTCTAATCCTTGCAGAAAAGGTTATTTTGCACTGCTTAGATCTAGAGTTACAGGAATAGCAAAGTAAGAAGGGAAGGGGAAAGAGATCACCTTAAAATTTCCATTACCTGTCTGGTGTGTATGGGTCCTGGGGTCTTGAAGCCTCCTTGACAGCTGCATTCAGAAACACTGTAAGGGTCCGAGCTGCTTGATGAACACTTGGAAAGTGAGTCACAGCCCACCACAAAGGTGTTATCTAGAGGCAGTTCCTGAATGACATGGTGCTTCTTGGGGGGCACAGGAGTCTCAGGTTTAATTTGAAAGGTAGGCTGTGGAGAAGCAGACTTGTAGTGCTTTGCTAAATCTGGGCTATCAGGCTTAAACGTGGTTGGTGTGGTGGCCCAGTTATACTTTCCCATAGTCTGTTCTTCTAGCTCTACAGGAATGTCTAAAGTGCCATTTATGTGCTCGTGGCCAGGATCATCAGGCTTAGATTCTTCAATAGTCACAAAGTTGAGGAGGAGACTTTTTGGAGAGCGCTTCTTCTTCTTCTTCTTTTTCTTTATCTGCCTATTCTCTTGGTTTGGGGAAACCCATTCACCACTCTGCTTGTTTTTTTGGACAACCTTGTGCCGAGGTGTCTGGCGGCACCGTACTAAAGCAGTAACAAAAATTACGAGAATAACTGTCATAGTGCCTGCAATAATAGCAATGATGATCTTGACATAATCATTGGTTTGTGGGGTTATCTCCCCATCCCCAACATTCTGGCCAACTGGAGTTTCCATATTCCTGCGCACTAGCTCTTGTACATAGGAACTGTTGGTGACTGTCTCATTGACAAATAAATGCACTAGAGCTATAGTGTAAAGAGACTCAGGCTGTCCTAGGTCGTTGACTTTTATCACCAGTCTGTGCAAGCCATGATCTGATGTAATTATTTTCTCTTTCAAAGTTATATTGCCTGTTAATTGGTCAATTGTGAACAAGCCCCGTGAGTTCCCACCTATGATGCTATAGCGGAGCTCTGCATTCATTCCTGTGTCATTATCTACTGCAAAGACTTTAGTAACTACAGACCCTGGACTGGCTGACGTTGGAACCAACTCATATGAATAATTAGATGAAGGAATAACAAAAACAGGCCTGTTGTCATTTACATCAACAACGTTGATGGTCACTTTGGCAGTTGAGGAACGTTGCACTCTTCCTCCATCCACGGCTTTCACCTGGAAAGTATATGACCCCTGCTGTTCCCTATCAAAGGTAATATTAGGTCTTATTACACCAGTAAGTGGATCTATAATGAAATTATCTCTACCATTTAATATAGAGAGAGTAACTGCAGCATTCTCTCCTGAGTCAGCATCTGTAACTGTGATAAGCCCCACTGTGCCATACATGGGTAAATTTTCCGGCACATAGAAATTGTATTCATTGTGTGTGAAAGCAGGGCTGTTATCATTCTGGTCCAGGACAGACACTGTCACAGTAGCATTGGTCTGCAAGGGTGGTATCCCATTATCCTTAGCCAGCACAGTGAAGGAGTACCTGTCTTGCTTTTCTCTATCCAGCTTTCTCACTGCTGTCAGAATACCTGTACGGCGGTCAAGGTTGAAAATAGGAGGTGCATCAGAACCCAGGATATAGCTGATCTCAGCATTGCGCCCACTGTCAGCATCTGTAGCACTTATCTTGGTTAGCTGAGTACCCGGAGCATTGTTTTCAGGGATGGAAAGACCTATGATAGGCTGTGTAAAAACAGGGGCATTGTCATTTTCATCTTTAATTTTGATCAGGAGCATTGCAGACTGGTTTAAGGGAGGTTTCCCTGAATCTGAAGCCACTATTTTAATGGCATATTCCCGTGTGGCTTCATAATCTAGAAATGTAGCTGTCTCCAGAAGAAACTGATTATCAAACACAGGCTTTAGCCTAAAAGGGACATCATGATCTGTAAAACAAGTAACTTTACCATTCATATCAGCATCCTTGTCCATTACTGTTATCAATGCAATTTTTGTATTAAGGGGAGCCTTCTCAGACAAAAGCACTGTCCCATTCACTGGATTGATGATGTATCTCGTGTCTATTGACGGGACATTGTCATTAATATCTGTAACATTAACAGTCACTGTTGCTCTTGACGGAGTTGAACTCCCATCACTTGCCAAAACAGTTAATTTGTGTACAGGAGATTCCTCCCTATCTAGCGGTTCTCTTATAGTGATGAGACCAGTGGTGTTATCAATGGCAAACAGCCTTTTGGCCAAACTGGAGATCTGATTGCTGAAATAGAAGTGGATTTGTGCATTTGAGCCCAGGTCTGCATCAGTGGCATGAAGCTGAGAAACAGAGGTGCCCACTGGAGCGTTTTCTGGAACACTGACTTCAATGTCATTCTCTTTGAAGACTGGGCGATTATCATTCACATCAGTCACTGTGACTTGCAGGATGGCAGTGCTAGATCTTGGAGGGCTTCCACCATCTTCAACTTTGATTTTCATCACATAGGTATCCTTCTGTTCCCTATCGAGGATCTGTTGGACAATCAGTTGAGGCCACTTATCTCCCTCAGGTGTCTCAGTTATATCAAGACCAAACACATTTTGACCCTACAAGACACAGAAAGAACATACTTTAGCATGACAGTATATTTAAATAGAGAAACATCTCAGTGTTCTGAAATTTTTACTGAATATATATTTTTATACATACTGTTTACAGGAATATACATTTATATATTTACCTTTATTTTGCAATATCTAATTTTGCTTTAAGCTCCAGGGCCTTAAGAAAGCTTCAGAGCAAACATGGGAAGAAAGACACTTTAGAAAAATGGTGAGGAGGAAAGGGGAAAAGAGGGGGAAGGGAGATGGAGAACATGGCAGTGTGTTTTGGTTTGGGTTTTTTTAATCAGTTTCTCTATTTCTACAGAAAAGCTATTAATTCCTGGACAGATGGTTCCTCTATTGTATGAGTGAGTGGGGAAAGGAAGAATGAAGCCAAAGTTCAGCCACATGCAAAGCAAGACAGCATGCACACAGTGGAGGAATACTCAATTTCCAGAAAAATAAGAAAGAGAGAGTTTCTGGTTTTGGAGCAACTCTGGACATCATCTGAAACCATTAGCATAAGAAATCACCACCATCACTGAAAAGAGGCTTACTACCTAATTCAGGCGTTAGATGGTACAGACAAAACTAAGTCATAAGTTTATTACGAATACATTCTGAAACCTCATCAAAGCTATTCCTTTCTTCATCATTATGTATTTTGTATTTGTAGTGAAAATTACAATCCCAGGATGAAAATAAGATCTATTTTCGTTTCAAAAAAATATCACAGAACTACAACATCCATTTTAATGGGGTTTGTTGAACACCCAAGAGCCCTGAAAGAAATGCTACATATATTGCACAAACAGCTTCTTTTAAAACATAGTGTTAACAAAAGTAGTCTGCTAAACTAAAGATTGGAATCTAGAACTAGATGCCCTCTTCTGCCGTCTCTTCAGACAAGCAGGGCTTAAGAATATCACAATTATTCTCCCTTTCGTATCTTTCACTCTTCAGAGGAAGAATGGATTTAAAGGCAGTTTTCCAGCCATATCTTCCCTTCCACAAGGGCAGAGCTAGAATGCAGATCATTAAAGCTGAATGTATAGGGTGACCAGAAAAAAAGGCATCAATAAAGATGCTGACTAACTAGGATTTTGGTTTTACGTACCATACCTGTAATAATGAACAACAGCATCTGGCCTGGTTCTCTGTTTATTGTGTTTGTCTTCGTAATTATGCATGTCCAAAACTGGTTTAAGACACTTCAAACCAAAGGGAAAGAAAGTGTTCCCAGTGTGCAAAGCTCTTCATTTCTCATTACTTGCAAAAAAGATTTGTATTCACTGTACCTTGCTATCCATCATTAAGTGAATGCATTTATAGGTCTACTTCGGTGTAAGGCTGTACTCTTTCATTGAGTTGTTTTCTTAAAGCCAGAATTTGACCCTACCTAAGTAATCACTTATTTCATGGAAAAGAACTATTCATCCACATTTCAAAAATTACTGTGCCACTTGCACAGTATTTGTGACAGTAAGTTGCAACTAGGGACACTCTAAAGCAAACTGGAACACATTTTGAAACAATAAAACAAATACTGCTTTGGCTTCTTTAGCAGAAGGCATATGAAAATATAAGCCTTGCAAATTTTTCTAAATCAAGATATAAATTTTGTAGCAATTAGGTTAAATTTTAGAATAGTAATTCTCTGCTGATCTCTTCATGAAGGCAGAGTTTCCTCTTTATCTTCAATCTGGCTAGCAGTTAATTGCAATAAATTTCAGAATTACTGGGAAATGACAAATTCTGTATTTTATCCTTTAACACAGATTTCCAGAAAAAAAGCAACAGAAGCTACCGAGGAGAGAAAAAAAAAAAAACCACAAACCTGTCACCTATCTTTTACTTCTTTATTTGTACACAAGTTGACAGATGGGCACTGATTATTCTGTCATTAGATCCCACAACTACAACAAACACTTCATATAGAGTTTGAATACATGCAGCTATACATATGCATACCCATTTCTGTTTTTCTCTGTCAGCTATGAGAAAGATATTTTTCATTATGGCATACAATTTTGATATAAAATAACAGAGCTTCAGTTCCCCATCACTAGCAGTAAACTCCTAGAGAAACAGAAAAGGCAGCAAAGATCTCTTCCAAGTTAATTATTAACAGTTGAGTAGTTTTCTATGGTAAAATATTATCCAAGAGTATTCCTTGCTATTCATTACAGGTTTATACATCTTTCTAAACCCCCAAAAATAAGAAAAAAATACAGAAAATTATACTTTCTCCTAGTTCAAGCAAGCCTATTTCATGTTGCTTAAGAGATAAGGTTGGTGTGATATTATCCTGCATTTTGACCAAGACATTTTCTAAGAATGAAGAGCTCTCCCATTCTAAACACTCCAAAAAATAATGAAACCTTTAAGAAGCATGTTTTTAAGATTATAAGTATCTATTTCTCTCCCTTCTGAGCAAATAAATTGAAAAGTAAAATTCTTGAGAGAAACATGAAGAAAAACCTTCAGGATTAAATTCTTCATGTTGAAGTAACTGGCTCTATCATCATTAAAACCTCAGTGCAGTGAAATTTCCAAAAGGGTAACATTGTTATTTGGACTGAACCTCAATAACTGCATTATCCCAGTGATCTGAAGGTTTAGTTCACAACTAGAAAGGATATGAGTACGCAGGAAAAGCATAATAGATAATTAACACTTATATAGTACCTTTTGCCATTAAAATGACTGACTAGTAAAAATAATCTGCTACATTATCTCCACAACTACAGAAGAATGGGAGCGAGAAATAAAAAAGGCTGAGTTTTTTTAATCTAAAAACAACAGGTTAGGCAATGTAACCTACCTATTTGAGGCAAAACAAGAGCTTTACAAGGCTCTGGACTTGATGGCAAGATTCTTCATCAGGGCAATAAGCAACTTCATTACCTTATTCAATTTTCATAACATACTTTTCAGCGGACTCATGCCCAAAGTAGTTTCTGAATTAATAAAACTGGTTTTCATGTTGAACACTCCCTACTGTGTATTTACCTGATCGTTTGTAATGGATCCAAAAGTCCTTTTCGGAGCTGTTTTGGGCTGTCAGGTAAATAAAAAAAATAAACAGTTTTTTTAAAAATTGAAACATTTAGGTAGATTAATAAATACATAATCGATGACACACGGACACTCAATATGATAAGCTACGAGAGCTTCTAGTACTATGGACAGGACTGCATGTGACAAAGTGCACCTAAAGTCTATACATAACTCTTCTCTAGATATACATATTGCAGTATCACAGTAGTTCCTCAAACCCATGTGGTATTGACTACCTGGAGATTGTCAAGAAGAATGGGGAAAAAAAACACAGCTTCTGGTTAATACTCATAACAGTGCACTTGTCCAGCAGTAACTTTCTAGAAAGTAGTAGTTTCCCAAAGAAATAGGGAAGGGAAAAATATTGTGCTAAATAACCATATAAAAATGACTGCTTGTGATACAAAGCACTCTGAAATTAGACAGCCTATCAGTGACTATTACTTTCAACATTATAAATGATGTAATTGTATATAATAACTACACATGGTTAACTGACAAAGTAGATCAACAGTGTGCTCCATCTTCATTAAAGAGCAGTATTATGAGCCTTTCAAGACAGACACAAGAGCAAAGACAGCTCATTGTTTCGTATCTACAACTTCATGCCAAACACCTTATAGGATGTATGTCTTCAGTTCAACTGAATCGTAAAACAAAAGTCAAGAGCTAGACAACATGCATCTAAAAAACAATTTACTTATGTTCTATAGTAACTCACTTTAACTCATTTCAGTGAACATTGCAACAAGGTAGAAGTAGTAAGCGTGCACGTCAACAACCCTCTTAAAATCAATTTCATTACTTCTAAAAATCTTACTCTCCCTAAAATCTAAAATAAACAGGTTTAGAGTAACTAAATTCCAGCTAACCAAATACAGCAATATTGAGAAATAAAAGAGATAAAATGTTAAAAAGAGATAAAAAGAAAAAAAGCAGGAGAAAGAAAGATCAAATATCAGTTTTCCATTAGAAAGTAATTCAATAATTCATTAAAGTAATTAATAATAAAAATATTGCTTAAAATTCAATCTTGTGTCCAAAGGACCCTAAAATCTTTTCAGAAAACCCAGAAAATAATGCCTGTTTGCTAACTGCTAGGTATTTATGATGTAGCAACACAGAAAACCTTTGCAGGTCTCCTGCAAAATTACAAGATAGGTTCCAGCCACTGTTTCCTTGCCCATTTTTGTCAAGACTGCTCTGTATCTGTAGTGTTAGATCACCAAAGAGTACAGTAGCATGATTTTAGCTCCTAACAGAGCTACATGTAGAGCTTCTCTACATGTAAACCTCTGCCAAATATTTCCTCTCCATATATACAACCACACACAAAACCTTACTCATCCTATGAAGCAGACAGAAAGCAAAATGCTGTAGAAGGGATCAATAGAACATAAGGATAATAATAAACCATTTCATGAATAATGAACCATTTCATGCTGGCAAGGATGGGTAAAAAGTATAATATGGAATGAAGCAGCAGACAACAAATACATTTAATACTGATTTTGTGAAGAAGGAAAAAAGGGATAGGAGGTATACTTAAACACAAAATTACCTCCTTGGAAATAGGAATTTGAAGTTACTACAAAAAGCCAGAAACAGTTTTAAAAATTACTTCACTTGAGCCTCCTTAATCCTTTTGGATTATTTGTTCCTTTGTGGGAAGAGTTCTTTTCAATCTTGACATATTCTAAACATTGTCAACTGTATTTTCTAAACCAGAAAAGAAAAAAAAATATATATATATGACAGACTATTTTTGCATCAAGTCTTGGCATCCAATTCTCAGAAGTTATTTTTTAGAGCACATTCATTTCCATTAAGGAAAGACAACCAGAGACAGTGAATATTACTTTTGTAATGTATTTTCTTTTTTGCTGCCCTAATTTCTCCAAGATAGACCTAAAGCAGGCTTGACACTCCATACCTAAACTGTA